GGAGCTTATACTTGGTGCTTTTTCTGTTACATGGTGAATAGCATTATTTGATGCTCCTTTTGTGCGTAAAATTTATGGACAAGTTTTTCTATCATTTGCAGCATCCTGTGACGAAAAATTTTGCCACAAATTTGTTCGAAACTTTTTGACACAGCAAAACAAAACAAATGTTTTCAGATTATTGTTGTAAAAATTGAAGCAAAGCTTGCCGTAAAGCTATGACAAAACATGATTTTAGCATGCTTGGTTATCTGGGCCGCCGCCGGGGGTGGAAACCTATATTAGGCGAGTGGTATACCGACGCGACTATCCGCTATCCGACAAAACCAGCGGGTTCAACGCGAAACTCGCTCCGAAATACACCGGGCCATGGGAGGTTAGAAAAATTCTCTCATCGTCGACCTCCGCAACCGGAGCGGAAAATGGTTACGACATATACATGTACAAGACTTAAAGACCGCGACCGAACAGACCGAACATAAAGACGAGCCCACAAACACCGCGCCAAACATGTAAGTAAGCCCGAAAGTCGAGCGGGGCAACAGCCCCGGCACGTGAAGCCCGCGCGCGTACAAAAAAAACGCGTCTCAATACACCCGGCATGAAAAACGTGGCGTTATGGGTATATAACGCGGCCGCACAGGCAGAAACTCTAGCTAGTCAACGATGAACATCACGACCGGCAACTTCAACGACGAGCTCGACATGCTTTGGAACAGCATTGTCGAGCTAGCCGAATCCTCCACCGGGCCGCCGGAGAACCAGGCCGAGACGCCACCCGCTCCACCACCAGCCAAGACCGTGCCCAAGATAGGCACTCGGGTACAGCGATCCGACGCCACTAACCAGCGCAAAGCAGTCCTCCTGGCAACCCCGCCACCACCGCTGCCGGGGAAATACCGACGCGGCCGGAAACTTCCGCCGACAGGGCCGGCGCCCGTCGTAGCCGCAGTCACACGAGGGGCACCGCAGAATCAAACGGCCCGCCAGGCACCTCCAGCCGCCCAGGCCAGGGCCGACCCAAGCACCGGACCAGGCCGGACCGACACCGAGGCGATGCCACCACCACCAGCACCACCGAGCCGCCTTCCAGCCACCCCGACGCGGCAACGACGACCGGAGCGGCCACCGATCGAGGTGGAAATTGCATCAGGCAGGAAGGTGCTGGTGCCGTACCACGCGGCGACCATCAGCCGCAAATACCAGCTGCGGCTCAAGGACGGGCACTGGCTCCACCGCTTCACCAGGGAGGGCAGACTACGGCACTGCCGCCGCCGACCCCTCTCCTAAAGGGGGGGGGAGGTGTAACGGTGCGCATATGAGCGACCATTCCGATGGGCTGGCCACCACCTGCCAGCCTATCTAACCACGCCGCAAGACGGCAAGGACCGTGCGCAGTGTTGCCAGGTCTACCGTTTTAGCGGTAGATCTAATGTTTTGGCTCACAAATCTACGTCTACCGTTTTAGCTGGGTTATCTACCGTTTTTAATTTACATATATATTTTATGGACTTTTCGAGTATGATTAAAAATAAAAAATTTTATTCTTAAAGAGTGACGAGGATTATAAGAAAATAAAATTTGAAACAACATATTCCCGCTATTTTAGTACTGTCAAACGACCACCAGGAGCGGTGTTATATTTAACGCACGGTTCTAGCTTGTCACTTTAAACTTTTCGCTTATACTTGGCGCGAGACACTACCGTGTTTCGTGATATGGAGCTTTTATTTTTATCGATAAGCTATGAAGATAACCATAGAAAAACAAAACATGAAATTGAGTTTACACCAAGAAGACTAGAGACCAGGAGACTCAACTCTAGTGGTGGGGGTAGGCTAAAATGTTGGTCGCATTTCTTGGGCGCTGTTCGCAGTATGGTCGAACGGCCAATTCATGAACTATGCGTGCTGGACCAGAGAGAAGCCTAAAGCCTATTACACAATGCCCAGGCAACAGGAACAGGGAATAGAATTTCTGACGAATTGGATTCGTCGGAAATTTTCTTCCAACCAATCCAACTCGTTAGAAATTCTATTCCCTGTTCCTGTTGCCTGTTGCCTGGCATTGTGTGATAGGCTTTAAGCCTATCACACAATAGGAAAGCACAGGGAATAGGAATAGGGAATAACACAGGCAACAGAAATAACTAAATTCCAACTTACCAGAAACCGTGCATCGACGCACAATGGAATATGGAATAGGCCATAGGAACCGAATTTCCGACGCGTTGGATTTCTGTTCCCTATTCCCTGTGCGGCCTGTGCCTGACCTACCTGACCAATCACAGTGGTGACTGGGACAGACACGTGGTTTTAAAATGCAGATGATTGGACAGCACGCCTATTGCCAACGAATCATTGTGTCTTGGCATTACATAGATTTCTATTCCCTATTCCTATTCCCTATTCCTATTGCCTGTGCTTTCCTATTGTGTGATAGGCTTAAGAGTTGTCACGGTCCCGTTTTTCGTGATTGGCGAAAGCGATACGCCCTCTGTGCACAGTATAACCAGTATGGGCACTCGCTCTTTTGTTTCACGTTCGCGCCGATCCGTACTGCGCATCCGACATGTTTTTATTCTGACCAATCACAGGATTTTTGTACGTGTGTTAGTGCATAGTCGGTGTGACATTGAAAAATTCGCAGTGTTGACGAATAACGCGTAAATACTTTCATACGTTGGAGCAAGTAATTACATTAATTACTTTCATTAAAACAATTTTTTCATTGGCCATTTTCATTTACAATAAATAATGTATGCCAGTTCATATGGGCCTTTCCTGGATACGATTCTGAAAAGGGCCCAGGCACTTTTAGCCGTTGATACACTGTTGGCGTGAATAAAAACATGGCGGAAAATTGAGAACGCCCAGATCAAAGGTGCCGACAGAGAATGCCCATACTGGTTATACTGTGCTCTGTGGACATATCGCTTTCGCCAATCACGAAAAACGGGGCCGTGGCAGCTCTCAGGCTTCTCTCTGGTTGGACTTTGGAGCGTCGTAGTTCATGAAATGGCCTGCAAACACGACTACGAACAACGCCCATGATATGCGACTACATTTTGGCCTACCCCCACCATTAATTTAGGCAGGAGTTCGGTCACCGGGTCTCTAGTCTTTTTAGTTTACACAAATAACATAACATAAAGTACGCGGGTTAAGTTCCTTTATTGCACTAAAAACATTATTTTTCTCTCTGAAAATGAATTCCGGAGAATCTGATAGTGATTCTAACAGCAGGCAATACAAATTATTGCTGCTATTGCTGCTAATGATTTTTAACAATAATTGTACCTTCAATTATTTAGATCTTTGGAATTCGAACAACCTAAGACGAAAAAACAAAAAGTAAAATATGATCAGAAATATAAAAAAGAATGGGAGATGGAAGAACCTTTCAAGAAATGGTTAGAATCGGATAAAAATATAAATGTGATGCTTACTGTAATGTGTGCAATAAGACAATAAAAGTGAAGGCGGGTAAAATGCAATTATGTATATAGACATATGAAAACAGCAATGCATCAGCGTTTAAGCAAAAGTATGAAAAAACAAGTTAACCTATCTGACATAACCAAATCTTTAGCCAATCAAGATGAGTTCAAGAAAAGAGCTGATTTATATTTAGTAGCATATATAACAGAACATAATTTATCGTTCAATTCGATAAATCATCTTCCTTCTCTAATCAAAGCAATTTGTCCTGAATATGAGAATGCAAAAAAAATTCAATGTTGCGGATGAGGTGCCTTCGCCGCTTGCGAATTTGACGCGTGCCGACATGCGGAGCTCGGCTCGCTCGTGCGCCAACGACAGCTCGTTTCGCGCGGCGGGAATCGCGACTCGGCGCCAATGGTGGCTGCCTGCACTAGTCGCCCCGACCAATCTGGCGACCTGAAAATTGCAATCTCATCCCTAAACACAATTGTTTTGGCAACCGTCCGAATAACGGGACCTGGTTCCTTCGCGAAAATCGAAGCTTCCAGAGCTTCTCCCGCTATAAAAGGCCTGGCGAAATTTGCCGCGAGGCCTTTCGCTCGACAACTTTCGTGAGAGAGAGTCACGCGTGCGTGCGCGGATTCAGTCTCCGTTCAAAGTTTTTGTTAATTCTATTTGTGCGTTTCAAGTTATTAAAGTGAAGCTTATGTTACATTCTGTCTTGTTTAATTAATCAGTTATTGTGCTCCACGTGCTCGCTCTACCCGACTCCATCAAATGCCATCGTACCAAATGTACAGCAATAATAAAAAATGTATTGGGCAAATACCAACTCCAATTACTAACACAATGTTTAAGAACAACTACTTTTTCATTAATCGCTGACGAGTCAACTGACAAAGGTTGTACGAAGCATCTTGGAATAATTGTCAGATATTTTGATGGTGAAAGGTGACTAGATGACATATTCATTATATTCAATATCTTTTTATGACTTTAGTATATCACGAGACACGGTAGTGTCTCGCGCCAAGTATAAGCGACTAAGTATAAGCGACAAACCTAACCACGCGCGCGACACCGACCGTGTTAGTTTACGCGAGTACGCGAGTTGACGGGCCCTCAGAATTTCGGATCTCAACAACGGCTGATCCGACGAACTTGAGACTGCGCTTAATCGATAGCTTGGGTACGATTTGCATAATAAAAGTGTTTTTACTTTTCTACTACGTGCCCCATGAGTGGAGATATTGCAAT